TGCTATCAGTTGTCAAACAATATCTAAGTGTGAACTCTTGAAATTAAATTTATCAATGCTCAACTTATTTTGTTTGTTTAAATTTAGCCTAAATAAAATGTTTACAACCAGTTACCTTAAAGAAATTTAAGTAAATCCAATGATTAATTTTTTTCAGTGTATATACACTCACCGGCCACTTTATTAGGTAGCCCTGTCCAACTAACGCAAATTTCTAATCAGCAGCAACTCAATGCATGTAGGCATGGTCAAGACGATCTGCTGAAGTTCAAACCGAGCGTCAGAATGGGGAAGAAAGGTGATTTAAGTGACTCTGAACGTGGCATGGTTGCTGGTGCCAGGCGGGGTGGTCTGAGTATTTCAGAAACTGCTGATCTACTGGGATTTTCACGCACAAACTTCTCTAAGGTTTACAGAGAATGATCTTAAAAAAGGGAAATTATCCAGTGAGTGAGAATGGCCAGACTGGTTCGAGCTCGTTACAACCGAGGTCTGCAGAAGAGCATCTCTGAACGCACAACACGTCCAACCTCGAGTCAGATGGGCTACAGCAGCAAAACACCACACTGGGTGTCACTCCTGTCAGCTAAGAACAGGTTACAATTCACACAGGCTCATCAAAATTGAACAATAGAAGATTGGAAAAATGTTGAGATGAGTCTCGATTTCTACTGCAGCATTCGCATGGACCCATCCTGCCTTGTATCAACGGTTCAGGCTGGTGATGGTGTGGGCTGTGAGGGATATTTTCTTGGCACACTTTGGGCTCATTAGTACCAATTGAGCATCGTGTCAACACCACAGCCTACCCGAAAATTGCTGCTGACCATGTCCATCCCTTTTTGTGCCACAGCCATATCACCCTGCAGCCCAAGACGGGTTACTCAATGAAGCTAAGCAGGGCTGAGCCTGGTCAATACCAGGATAGGAGACCACATGGAAACACTAGGTTGCTGTTGGAAGTGGTGTTAGAGAGGCTAGCAGGGGGCGCTCAACCTGTGTGAGTTCTAATGCCCTAGTAAAAGTGAAGGGGACACTACACTGTCAGTGGGTGCAGTCTTTCGGATAAGACATTAAACCGAGGTCCTGACTCTCTGTGGTCATTAAAAATTCCATGGCACTTCTCGTAAAAGAGTAGGGGTGTTATCCAGTGTCCTGGACAAAGTCCCTCAATCGGCCCGTACAATCATGGCCTCCTAATCTTCCCCATCCACCTAATTGGCTCTATGACTGTCTCTTCCTTCCACCCTATAGCTGGTAAGTGGTGAGCGCACTGGCCCCGTTGTCTTGTGGCAGCCGTCGCATCATCCAAGTAGATACTGCACACTGGTGGTGGTGTGAAGAGACTCCCTTTATGATTGTGAAGCGATTTGGGTGTTTGGCCATACACGATAAATGCACTATATACAAACACATTACATCACATTACATTTATGACCACAGTGTACCCATCTTGTAATGGCTACTTCCAGCAGAATAATATGCCATGCCATAAAGCGTGAATCCTCTCGGACTGAGTTCTTGAACATGACAATGAGTTCACTGTACTCAAATGGCCTCCACAGTCACCAGATTTGAATCCTATAGAGCACCTTTGGGATGTGGTGGAATGGGAGATTCACATCATGGATGTGCAGCCGACAAATCTACAGCAACTGTGTGATGCTATCATGTCAGTATGGATCGAAATTTCTGAGGAATATTTCCAGTACCTCGTTGAATCTATGCTACAAAAGATTAAGGCAATTCTAAAGGCAAAAGGGGGTCTAACCCGGTATTAGTAAGGTGTACCTAATAAAGTGGCCAGTGAGTATATTCCTAACTCCAAAATGTCAGTATATGTAAGATATCATATATTATATACCCTATAGAAAATCATGCTCACTTTTCAATTAACTTGAATTCTTTAGCTACTATAATTGCATCTTGTCATTTCCTGCTAACACATTTTGGTTGACTGATGACATCACAAACGTCTCGATGATGTCATGCATCAGGACAAACAGACCTCCCAGAGAGACTCCTCCATACCTTTCGGCCACTGCTGTGGTAAAATGCTGTGCCTCTTAAAAATGTGTGCACCTTCCATATGCTTCCTCGTGGGTTGTAATGTCTTCCAGGTGTCTTTAAAGTTCTTTATGGCCCTGAGATATGGCTTCCTTCACCCTAGGATTTAGTTTACAACTAACTAACCAACTAAGCTAACAGTTGTTAAACATTCACAACAGTTCAGGGAACTATTGGGGATAGGGATGGCCGACAAATTCTCAAATCATGATATAAGTCATCTCATATCCTGATAGCAATATACAGTAGTCAGAATTATTAGCCCTCCATTGATATTTTTTTCTTTTTTAAATAATTTCCAAATTATGTTTAACAGAGTAAGGAAATTTTAACAGTATGCCTGATAATATTTTTCCTTCTGGAGAAAGTCATATTTGATTTATTTCGGCTAAAATAAAAGCAGTTTTTAATTTTTTAAAAATGATTTTAATGTCAAAATTATTAGCCCCTTTAAGCTATGTATATATTTTTTTCGATATATATATATATATATATATATATATATATATATATATATATATATATATATATTTATTACCCTTTTCTGCCTAGTTAACCTAATTAACCTAGTTAAGCCTTTAAATGTCACTTTAAGCAGTAAATAAATAAGTGGTTGTCTCAACACAAATCGATTAAGTTTACAAATTTAGGTGGACTGAACATAAAAAATTAAGTTGTCCTAAAAAAACGTAACAACTGTGTTGTTTTAGCTCAAGCATTTCAAAAAAGAAGCAAAATAATTTTTTTGAGTGTTTGAAAGTTCATCTGAACTTTTCCTATAATATTAGCATTTTTCTCAGCCTGCTATGTTTATGTTTGGTTATTTCACATTAAAGGCACTGACGAGAACCTCTTTTTTTGACATAAAACCCTTCATATTGATCACATACAGTTTAAAGGGCAATTTCTATTTTATATTTTAAAGTATACACTAAGAAATTTGCTCATTAATATGTGATCGCAACACAATCTCACTGCAATTTGGAACTTTTTGATTTAGTGGTTAATTAGTAAGATCTAATTCGTACAATTTAGTACGATTTGCTCATCCCCCAATGACGGTTGGGTTTAGGGGTGGGTTTAGGTGCCACACCTCCTTTTTAAAATCATACAATTTCATACCACTGAATTCGTACGAATTCATACGAATTAGCCACTAAACTGACAAAACGTAAAATACTTATGTTTTCTCGTGAGATCAGGCTGGTAATCAAGGTACAGTGCGAATGTTTGAAGAAAAAAAAATTATAAAATACATGTTAATAATATATAACACTTTTCTAAAATGTAAAAATGTAAAATATTGCTATAGATAGATAGATAAAATGCAAAATGTAGACAACAGTTTATCATGATGCTTTTATACTGTATATGTTTCTGTCTGCATACCCATAATGACGTGTATTATTGCGCTTATTTTAATGATGAAAAAGTATTACCGTAAATAATGTATTTTTGTGACAAAATAAATGATGGAGCATAATATGAAAATGTTTATTCTTTAAATAGTTTTGCCCATACTGTATAAAGTTTACGTAAAAATGATTAGCCCTCCTGTGAATTTTTGTTTCCTTTTTAAAATATTTACCGAAAGCAATGAATTTTTCACAGTGTTTCCTATAATATTTTTTCTTCTGGAAAAAGTCTTAATTGTTTTATTTCGGCTACAATAAAAGCAGTTTTTAATTATTTTAAACCATTTAAATGTCCAAAATAAAAGCCCCCTTAAGCAATATTTTAAATAATTATTTTTTGTTCAATCTACTCAAATTTTTTAAAAAAACTATTAAGTTAACTTAATTGATTTGTCTTGGGACAGAATGAATGAATTGTGTAGAACCAGCGAAGGATCATCCATTCAGTTTAAAGTCTTATTCAATCTTCTAGAAAAGAAAGAAAAGTTCCTACATCTTGGATGACCTGTGGGTGGGACACCATTTCTGGGTGACCTATCCCTTTAATGTGATCCTCTTACAGTCCATTTTTGCTGTTAGCTTCCCTTCCCCTTCCTCATACCTAAACAAGCCAACAGGACAATCCATCAAGCCTCGCAGCTCCCGCCGTCTCCAACTTATTCCACAAACCAAAGGTTTCTGGCATCTGAGAAAGCCATGCCACGTTTTCCAGAAAATCACACCATTAAACAAGCAGTTGTCTTTACCCAAACCACTCAAAAATCACCCAAATCACACATACAACACACTCCCTAACTGCAATATTTGCGTTAGTTCTCAAGTTTTAAAGGTTTTGAAATGTAAATTTTTGTTTGGTGTTTGACATAATACCTCAACCGATACACAAAGAGTGGCTGAGACATAGTGTAGCTTCTTCCCTTTAAAAAAAAAAAAACAGCCAATAGCATTTTGCTTAATCACAGCTCTGCCAGTGAGAGTGGTTGAGCTCAAGCGCATAAAATGTGTAGCATCATGAAGGGGGCGGGGCATGTCAGACACTAGAGAGCATTTGATTGGTCAGATGAGAAACTGAAGTGTGAGGTGACGTGAATAAAACTGTTGATCCATTCAGGTGTAAGTGACAAACTACAAACTTTACATGTTTATATCAGTTTTATTCTGCTAAATGCTAATTTTATCATTGTTTTGGTGTGTACTTGCGTATAAACATATTCTAAAAGCTAACAATACGAATAGTGACATTTAAAAAAAAAAACTTTCTTTTAATTTCATGGGACCTTTAATAAAATTTTCATATAATTACAATGTCTCATACTAACTGATAAAACAGGGCATGTCTGCTGAAAACTGCAGCATATTTGGCCAAAAATATTTAGCAAGCAAAATAAATGTTTAGATTTGATGAACACACAGGCTGAGCTGGAGAGAAAGTGAGAGAGAGGAAAGAAGGAGGGGAAACACATGAGAGACAAAAGCAGGAGGAGTTTGAGGGGTCACACATGTTGCTTATAAACTTACTGAAAGTGGAGAAGGACGGAGAGAATGGTTTGTTTGGGTCTTCGACTGACTTCATGTGCTGAGTCGACTTCCCCCACACACACTGACCCCGTGGAAAATGTGACATGGCATGTGGAAAGCTCACTTTATGACCCTAAAAACAAAACAAAACAATGAAATATGAAAGCTCTGTCATGACAAATTTTCAATTCAAGTTTATTTGCATATCACTTTTCAAAATACTTATTGTTTCAAAACAGCTTCACAAAAGGTGCACTTTATTGCATTGCAATGAAATTCTGAAAGTGAAGGTTGCCATAAACTATATTTGCCAAATTTACCATCAAATAAACCAAATACAGTACATACAGACATACATTCAATATTCAAATGTAAGGTTGACTGTAAGCTTATCCTATGATTTGTTATACATTATAGCATGAAATTACGAGAAATAACATAACATTAGAAATGCATAGAATGTATGACTATGTTTATATGTAATTATAATGAATGTCAGACGTGCTGAAAATACTAAAAATCTCAATGTAAAATCATTCATTAGACTGAAAATGATTTTAAAAGGTGCAAGTTTCAAACAATGCTTTTGCAAGTAGATATATGTGGAAAAAACACAAGAAAAAAAAGACATTTGGATAAAAAAAAGTTTTAAATAAATTCAATAAAAAAATTAAAAAATAAATAAAATGGGGAGGGGGCGGTGTAAAGGGTTTTAAACTTGTGTAATTGCATGTGCTTTTATTAACAATAAAAATATATTTTTTAAATATAACAAAATTAAATTTATATGGGGAAGAGGGAGTAAATGTTTTTTTTTTATTAGAATTTTATGTTAATTTACATGTGCTTTTTTACAATAAAATAAAATAAACTTTAATTAAATGGGAGAGGAGGAGTAGTTAAAATGTTTTTTAAAATGTGTTAGTTCATGTTAATTTTCATATGCCTTTATAGAATAACAAATGTTTAAAAATCAAATCAAATAAACTTTAGTTAATTGGGAGAGGGGGAGTACGTTTTTTAAAAATGTGTAATTTCATGTTAACTTTTATGTGCTATTTTAAATATAAAAATTGTTTACAATTTTAAATGAAAATATATTAAATAGAGGAAAGAGTTTTTAAAATATGTAATTTCATGTTAACTTTCATATGCATTTTTACAATAAATAAAATAAAATAAAACAAAATGTACTTAAAGGACCATCAGAAAAAGACATAGTGGAAAATGATTATCTTGCATCTCTGTGCTGAAGTTTTGGATCACGCCTGAGGACTAGTGATTATTTTATTTTATAGGTTCAGCCTCACTTAAATGCAGACTAGTTAGGAAGAGGGCTTTTTTTGACAGGTGGAGTCTAACTGTAAACAGGTGGCCAGTGAGGGGACACTGTGTGAGGAGACCCAATCTTTAAACCAGTGGCAAACAAACAAACAAACAAACAAATAAATAAATATTAGATTTGACCCAGACTTAAAGAAGCACAAACAATGATCAAAAAATACATATGAGCAATTCCAGCATTATGGATGTGACGTTTGTAGTAAAAACCCAAAACATAAGTTCACAGAGAAAGTATATAACAATATACTGAACTGTTTATATTTTCCAAAACAACTGACCACGGAGTTATAGGAGCAAAAAATATTAATCTGTAAACATTTCTTACAGTATATTTTAAACGATGACAAAAAAAGTATGAGTTTGCAGTATACAACATTCTTTGTGGAAATGTTGTCAATTAAACTGCATAACCCAATGCTAATCAAAAGGATAAGAGTCGGCTCTTTGTAGAATAAAAATCGTTGATTTTATTTTTTTTGACATTTTTGCATTTATGAGCAACAAGCTTCTTATGGATGTGACAGATGTGAAATTGTGTGACTTTGGTAAATCTGATATAATATATAATAAATATAATAGTTTAAAAACATTGACAGAGACCTATTAAGTATTTTTAAAGTACTGTAAAATACTTTCCTACACAAAAATGTAGAAACGGTTTCGCTATTTTGGTGAAAACTTAATTCTAAAACTTTTTCTTGCCAAGGTTGACATATGCGTGATATTGCACACATGTATTTGTAATCAAGAGGTGGCGCGGTGGCGCAGTGGGTAGGGTTGTTGCCTCAAAACAAGAAGGTCGCTGGTTCGAGCCTCGGCTGGGTCAGTTGGCATTTCTGTGTAGAGTTTGCATGTTCTCCTTGTGTTGGCGTGGGTCCAAAGTCATGTGCTATATAGGTAAATTGGGTAAGCTAAAATTAGCCGTAGTGTATATGTGTTCTTGAGTGTGTATGGGGGTTTCCCAGTGATGGGTTGCAGCTGGAAGGACACCTGCTGCGTGAAACATGTGGTGTATAAGTTGGCGGTTCATTCTGCTGTGTCGACCACTGATGAATAAAGGGACTAAGCTGAAGGAAAACGAATGAATACATTTGTAATCGTTCATTCATTAATTTTCTTGTCGGCTTAATCCCTTAATTTATCCAGGGTCGCCACAGCGGAAGGAACCGCCAACTTATCCAGCACATTTTTACGCAGCGGATGCCCTTCCAGCCGCAACCCATCTCTGGGAAACATCCACAAACACATTCACACACACACTCATACAGCATGGCGCAGGGAGAACATGCAAACTCCAAACAGAAATGCCAACTGAGCCGAGGATCAAACCAGCGGACCCAGCAACCTTCTTGCTGTGAGGCGACAGCACTACCCACTGCATCGCCAATTTGTAATCAAATGACTTGTAATATTAATTTTAAGTTGTAAATATTGAAACAGTCATTAGATTACAATTAATCTAATTAATTACAATACATTAATTATAATTATAATATCATTATTATATAATATTATACAATGTATATTATTTATACTTTGCTGCTGTCCTTCAAATCATGTAAAATAAAATTACATTTAGTACAATCACTTTTATATATTTTTCCCCTATTTTTAAAAGTGCGAGTCAAAATAAGTATATTGTTCTATTTTTATTAACATAAATGTATCTGATACACTAAATGACAATCAATCAAACATCATTTACCAATATTTTGATATTTCCTATAATTAAACAGTCAAATCAGCTTTTAACATTCCTATAATTTGCATACATGACAACTTTTGTTAATTAATTTGATTTAAACACCAAAAAGGGTCATATTTAGTTTCTCTTTACATTAACAAAAAGCTTTTAAAGTCACCTAAATGATTATTCTGCCCAGATTTCAATCTATGAAGTATGAAAGAATTAAGACTGCATGCTAGACTGTTAAAATCGTCCAAGTCGAAGGAATTCGTGTTGGAGAACATAATACGTGGAATGCTAAGTCGTCTGGGCAGCCATATTTTCCACATTGAAAAACCAGTCAAACCCCTCCCTCTCTTTAACAATAAACCAATCGGAGCCTTCTCTTTGAGGAGTTTATTACAGTATATCGTATTTCAGATGCACACCACATCTGCAAAAGTTTTTTCCTCTCAAACCAAGGCGGAGTCCAAATTAACAGTTCCCTCCTCTCATCTCTTGATTGACAGCCCAACTCAGCCAATCAGCGGACAGCACTCTAAACGGCTGCGTTCTATCATTGGCATTCAGGTTTTCCATGCTTCCCACACTGTTGGAGACCACAGCAGCAGAGAGCTGTAATTGTGTGTGTTTACAGAGTGGTATATTGGTGCCTGGTGAAGTTGGCAGGGCAGCTAGCAATACTCAACATCCTGCACTTTTTAACACGTTTGTCTTTTAGTGCTTCTGAGCTCCGAAAATCCTTTGGTTTTCAGCTCTGTCTCGCTGCAGCAGACTAAGAGTGAGTGAGTTTCCCAGATGTGTGATGATATACTGCACCACGTTTGCCCTCTTCTTACAGAGAAAGAGAGAGAGTGAGAGACAGCTGGACTCACTTAAACTGTTCCTCATGTGTGCTGTTATATGGAAAAGATTTCACCGTTTGCCTTTACTGAGGCTGCTTTAGCTTAACCATTTAATCACCAATTTATATATCCAGGATACAGCTTTGCTTGGACCTGATCAAAAAAGTTTGGAGCAAATAACTTTACAGTTTTAATGGCTAGACTGAAATAACAACAATGGTAACAATTATTTTGCATGCATGCAAAAAAATGAAACCGACGTGGCGTCCTAAACCGCATACTTCCAAACTACTAAGCACATACAAAACAGCATGCGAGCCAAAAAAGTAGCAGTGTTTTTTTAAATAGAGAGAAGAGTGTTTCTACAGGTGGTTTGTCAGGCCCACTCACCTAAAGCAGACTTCATAAACGCACAATAAGGATTTTTTTTCTCGAGATATAAAGCGATTGTAAGTGCAAAAACTGGTGCAAGTGTCAGTTAAAATGTCAGAGAGAGTGTTTTCAACAGGTGGTTTGTCAAACCCACTCACCCGTTAATTGTTGCAAAGTGTTATTGGTAACCATATATGGGATTCTGGAATGAATACAGTTCAAATAAAATTAATGAATTAATTATTATGAATAATAAAAATATTTTGTCCAGAACATCTTCAAATAATTACATTACAAGGTTAAATAATTTTACAATGTTATTTCTAATAAGAGCACATATCAACTACTGTTATAATCAACGTATCAGTGAATCTTTATAATTGCACATAATATTATAATTATTTCATCTGAAATATATGTTCATTAAACTTAAATATGCACTGTAAAAAAATAGGGATGACCTGATCAAGTTTTTTGCCCTTGAGTCCAAGTCATCTGATTTTGAGTATCTCCCGATACCGAAACCCGATCCGATACTTTTATGATACATAAAAAGAAAAGAAAGATGAGCGAAGAAACAGATCCAGGATGTTCCTTATTTTTTATTTAATTCACCTTATTTTAAAATGTAACAACTCTGTTAACAAACAGAGCACTTCTGTAGGTAGCTTGGACAATTAAGTAATCTATACATAAATTATTCAAGTTTGGACTTTATAGCAACAGTAAATGTAAAAATTTAATATAAAAACAAATAGCAACTCAACTTAAAATACCCAGCAGGCATGTGAACGAAAAATAAATAAATAAAAGTGCCACAGACAGTAGCCCCTTTCACACAGTGATACCGGTAAATATCCGGAAAATTTACGGAACGACTTTACC